CATATTCCACACGAGGGTCAATGACCGACCGTGGATGGGTGCGCATCAGAGCCGCCTTTCGGACAGCTTCCAGCTTCCGCTTCTGTGCCTCATCGAGGTCATTGGTGATTACGCCACGATCTACAGGTGACGAGAACTCAGGAAACGGACATGGGGTCTGCAAGGCGCAAGCAGGGCTCGTCTCACGCTGCTGATGCGGCTCGCCTTCCTTGTCATTCCTTCCGGGAAAAGGAGTGTCAGACCCGTATTCGACCACCTCCACATCCTCAACGAGATCACTCGTCACCGATAGCGTGCGCGGAGTGCGACACTCAGGCTCATCGAGCCTAAGATTTACATCCGTCGATGCCGCGGATACACGGTCCCGACATGGCACCGTGATAAAGCTGGGCTCTGCTCGTGAGCGCTGTTGGAACCAGCGAGACTCGAAGACTTCGGTATCATTGACACAGGGCTCATTGAGCACGGAAGTTATTTCGTTCAAACGCAGTATCTAACGGACACGCAAGCCTCGTTGAGGCAATAATCGACTGGAACTGTAAATGTTCTCTATTTTAATAGGAAGAGTGGAACGGGGTTACACATTCCCTGGTAACAGAGATGCGTGTCACACCAGATGGGCATGGTGTGACCACACCCAAACAAGAATACGGTACGGGGCTGGATAGCCAGTAGTTATACATGTATTTAGATTTTACTATACATATTTAGGATCTAAACATTTAAAATCATGCGGCTTTGCCGCAAATAGATAAAACAAAGTCACTTTTTGAATTTAAAGAGTTAATTAGCCTTGGGTTAAGGCTATAATTACTCTTTGAGTAAGCGGATTGCGATCCTGTGTATATAACAAGAGGTCGGTGAGCTCACTTACGCTTCTTTTAAGCGCAAAGCTACAGCAGCCCCGATGCACCCGGAGATTAAGCGCTCTTTACGGTTCGCATGGCTACTGCACGATTTGCACTCGTTGTGTTCTCTACTTATAGCGAGGGGACCCTTTCATGTAGCTCACGAAAAGGTCTAAATATCTAATCATAATCTGAACTCGGCACAGCATGAACAGCTTTCCCCTCTACAAAACTAAAAGTCTCAGGAGTTTGCAATGAAGGCGGCTTGGAAAATATTATGTATATTTGCGATTCTTCTTATCAAAGTGCAAAAGTGTATTCAATATTCGCTTCGATGTTGATGCCCGATCCAGCAGGTCATACCGTTTACAATTACTATTTACAGCTGGATTAGTGACTGTTGGGTCATCCATGAGGTAGTAGTGTGCTATGATGACAGTACATGACTCTGTTCGAGCGTATAGAGAACAAGACACATTGATTTACCCATTTCACAGTATTGCAAGCCATTCAGCTGGCGAAACGTCAGTCTAGGACGTTGCTTAAGTCTTAAGTTTGCGAAATCAAAGCGCGGTTGTAATATCACGTCGAATCTCGCCCCCAACTCCAATCCGTTCCTAACGTCCTGCAAGCTACGGCTACTTACCACTTTTGAAAAATGTATTCTTTATCTAGCTCCACGTGTAAGAATGTGGACGCTGCATTAAAATGTTATCGACTAGTGTTCAAGAAATTACCACACACAACAGTCAATACAAACTTTAAAAATTATGTCTTTGATCTTATTAGTTGCGCACTCAGCGTATGACGTCCCGACTCGTTGATATAGTTTTTCTTGTTTGTTATGCAAAGTTTGTGAGCTGATAGCTGCAAGTGCAAGGACTTGGTGGGGGCGACGCTGTCAATACAACAGCTTCTAACTTTATTTGGATGTGAACGGACACAGAGGGTGACCAACTTATATATTATTTGATAACCTGTAGATGTATTTAGTGCAAAGTTCAGCACAACATAATGAGTAAAAGCGTTTATTCGCTGTTTCTTCGTGAAAACGTAGAATATTGTCAAGGTCGCGGTAAACGTGTTGCGCCTGATTATCGGCTTGAGAATCGTTCGAAGTAGGTATAGTCAATATGATGCCAACCCCTTTAAACAAAGCTCACAAACCTTTTGCTGCGAAGCGCGATTCTTGATTCGGTTGTGGTGTCGCTGACTGCATCAAAGCAACTATGGCGGTATAATCGAACTCATCGTCTTGAAAACCAAACATAAGTTCGCGCACATTAACAATCATCACTCTGCTAAAGAGACAGCATGATCAAGGGCGCCGAAGTGTTTGGCAGAACTTTACCCGTGAGAAATAAAAGTTGCGCGCACAATTCCTTGCCAATTTCTACATTTCAGGTCGTCTGTACGCAGATCATGAAGCCGTTCGCCGTCTCCATCGAGACTTTCTTTTCGAGGAGTATCATGTAACTGATACAAGTACCGATACAGAAGTCGCACGAATTGTATAGATTGCCAATCACAGCAAGCTGAGGGTGTACCTTGTAAGTAGAAGATCATTTTCCGCGGCAGTTAAATTTCTTAATAAATAGTAAAATCTTTTCTTCAGTTGATTGACAGTATTTAATCTCAATACGCCTTTATGTCAATTGGCATCAGCTTGAAGCTAAGCACACCCTTTAGCAAAGGCGAAAGCCTCATAGATAGCGAGGAAAAACGTTTTGAAATTCGGAAGAGCTACAATATGGGCACACCGATGCTTTCTTTACTAGCCTTAGAGACCACTTTTTCAAAAATGTTTAACCTTCTGACCATAAAAGTACAATGTCGGCATAGTTTGCATGGTTGATCAAGAAACTTTCTAGATGTACTTAGTGAAATTGTTTCGGCAACTACCATGACCGTTGATTACACGTACCCTTGTATGAATGGGCGGGTCGCACAATCTTGTGCGACCGTACATAGGTGAATACACAAGTTAGTGTTATCACATAGTGGTGTGGCTACACCGTAACAAGAAGCTAGGATTGCCAGTAGTAATGCATATTACTGTATTAACTAGGTTTTGCTATACTAACTAGATATTAATAAGTAAAACCTAGGGTTTTAGATACTGGAGGCTCTGCCGCAACTAAAACAATCAAATACAGTTTTGATTTTGAATGGAAGTGTTCGTTTGCCTTGGTTTAGGCTTTAGTACTTGGACTTGGCAGGAACTTAAGTTCGGTGACCTTGGCTTAGCTCCTCTAAGCAAAGAGCTACGGCTGCCCCGCTGCAGCTTTGATATTTGTAGAATCTTCCTGATAATCATGCCTTCTAGTGGAGCACCCAATTAAATGAAATTTTGGTGAACAGCTCGTAACCACGCACACATTGAGCTCAGCTAGCTAGAACTTAGAGAAGATGTCGACATTTGAGGCGATGCTCTGCACTACTACGGATGACTATCTTGTCGAAATAGGACTCGTGCGAATTCTCAACGAGGCCAAAATATCTGCGTCACCGAGCAGATAAATGTTGCTGTTGCGTTAGGCAGCTCCTGAGGCATCAAGCTCAGTGACTTATTACATTCAATACGGGTGTAACTGCCTCGCATGGGTTTTGTGTACCCGTCAGCAAAGTGAAGAGAGTTTGACAAAGTACTCTTTACCATGCTCTTCTACAGCACGTCATTTCAACAAATCTGCGTTTTCTCGTGAAACGCGGCTGCACTTCGTTATTAAAAGCGTGCATAATTTGCTACTGAGCATTAGCATAAAGCATATAGAATTAATACTATTTTACCAATCAGCAAAACCTTAAAACGAAGGGACTTGGGCGGGTAAAGAGAATTGGACGAAATTCACCAAGATGCCAGACATTGAGCGCATTGTAGACCGCAAGCTCATTAAGCAGCGCGTGCACTACCTCGTGATCTGGAAAGGATTCGGCCGTGAAAACAATACATGGTACAAACTCCGCCTGGCCCCCCACAACATAAAAAATGTCGTTTCTTACCCAATTATATCAATCTCTTGTCTAGGGAGAGCCGCATTGACTTGATGGCCGATGGCTATTCACATGTTATAAAGGACTTTGAGAACCGTAAGTAGGACTTGTGTTGATAGTACTATAGCAATGCTCATTATATTATCAAACTCTGCAGAACGTAGAGAGTCCGATAACTTGAATTCTCGTGGTCGTAGTCCTAGACGTTCGAGGTCTAAAAGCCCAGGAAGGAGCAGAAGCCCAAGTAGGTCAAGAAGCCGCCGTCATCGCTCGCGCAGCGTCTCAGTGAGTCGCAATTTACCAGAGAGTGACAACGACGACGTGAAGGAGAGAAAGCACAAGGACAGCCTTGCGAATACGTCCACACCTTCGCAACGACGAAAAAGTCCTCGTAACAATGAAAATAATGATAGTAGCAATGATCAGGAGGGAGTTCGACGCCGATCATCCCGGAAACAGGTTGCAGATGAGACGTCGCCCTCGACGCGATTCGTATCTCGTATGGAAGATGATGAAGACTCGGTGCTTCTACGCTCGACCCTTGCAGCCTTAGTCCCACAGGTGCGGGAAATGACCTCAAATGTTTCTTCAGCGAGGTCGGATGGTAACAAGAAGCCAGTGGTGTTGATGTATGAAGAAGAATCTGGGATACTTTGTAAGTCACGTGATGTCAAGAAGACTGCAAGCTCCAAGTCCGGTGCAACCTCTGCATACAAACACACACAGATTAGCGCTGGATCAAAGCTAATGAAAAGCGGCTATTTAATGTCGATCTTCAGTGTAGCGGTGGTCGTGGGATCTCTGGTGGCGAGCGAGATGCTGGCGGAGGTGGAAGATGAAACGAAACTGTGGCGAAAATGGTTGTCGTTCCTCACCCCGGTTGTGGCACTGCTTCTTTTCTTTCATCAGAAAAATGCGCGTGCTTCGGCAAAGTGGGTAGCCACTGGTCTGGCTTGGCGTGCTGCTGCAGAACTTTTGCTCTTGCTCGAGGTTATGCCTCGTCAGTTCGAAATGATGGTTGCGATATCAACCGCTGTCGCTAACATATCGCTGCTTGTTGCACTCGTCTCTATCTTTCGTAACGGCGAGCATAAGCAGTCCAAAGCAACGCTCGTTCTTGTGACGATAGGTATTTTGACCCTTTTTCTTTCGGACAGGTATGATGTGACGTGAGAATTTGGTCCATGTGGGAAGCTTCAAAGTGAACCTTGTCTTGTTGTTTGTTGGTTAGTTGGGTGATTTCGACCGGAAATACGGAATTGCGGTCGCGCGTTATCCTTATGTCAGTAGCTGTTGTAAGTATCGCGACAAAACACTCTCTGGTTGCTCTCTAATTATGTGTCTGTCTCGTCTTTTATCTAGCTGACAATTGCACTTTCGCCAATACCGATGGTATCCTTAGAGGATGATAATTAGGATGAAGGCGCAACAATTACCCGCTTGACAATGTAATAAGGGCCATCATGCTTTCTTCTTCTACGTTAGATTTCAAATTGTGCTGGATGCATTATGTGCTCGCAAGTATTCTGTATCTAATTCTAATGACTCGCCAAATGCAGCGTTTTGAGCAATAGCTGCTGACTTTGGACGCTCACAATCGAGTCGACGTCGCCCTCGCGATGTACCAGCTCTCGAATGACCTCGACTGTCAAAGCTGCCCTTGATTCAGCACCTTGTGTACTCTGCGATGAATGCTCCGTCATAACTTGGTAGAGAAGGGTCTGACGCATAAGCGACTCTAAAGTCTCCTCATTCACACCTGCCAATTCTGCTGCTATATTGTCCCACAGCTCGGCGTCATCGACAATGCAGGTTCGCCACACACCAGCACGCAATTCTTTGTACTCGTCGGTTATCGGGTCGGTTGCTATCGTCTCTAACACCTCAAGAGCCATGAGAAATATGTTGATTCTATTGCGTGACAAACGTAACAGTTAGTGCACGTCTCAAGCCTTTTTGCAAATATTCAAGTACCTCATTGGGTCATCTTTTTCTGTAGATAATGCTGACGCTAAGCATGCATGTACCAAATCTTTAGGTAATAGCGGGTGCGGGTTGATAGGTTTCTTCAAAGGCAGCTGCAGCAGCAGCTCTTGAAGCTTATTACGAAGAAGCTGTCGTTTGCACACATGGTCAATACGTGCCTAACACGAAACAATGATAAGCAGAACGTACCTCGTCATTAATCTCTTGAATAATTTTTGAATGCGACAAGTTAGATGAAGCACAGGCAGCGATTTTCGCAATACTGGTCATTGTTTTGCGCTTCGACAATGATCGCTGCTCTTTCTTGGCCTCACAAAGAGATAGGGTCGCCACCTGATCATACCGCTCGAGTGACACAGCTGTCAACCACCTATATTTGTGTAAGTGCTCCCGGGTCTTCATGAATTTGTGAAGTGATGGTGCGAAGATCTGCGAGTGAGCAAGCAAATATGCCATCATTGTCGTCTGAGCAACTTCTTCGTTGCTTTGTGCCCATGGGTTTTGAATTTCGCCATTATACCACTGAAATACAAAGTGATCAAATCCTTCGTATTTCTTGCAGAATGACTCTAATCTCTTGGATGCAGGGCTTTTTGGCAATTTGCCCAGGACACAGTCCAGCTTGGATAAGTTCACGGAGTCTTCAACGAAAATCAAAAATATCATCCCTTCAAAGTACAAATATTTTTCGCAAAACTCGACACATTGGCTAAAGAGATTTGCTCGCTTTTGCGTGATTGCTCCATCTTGATCACAGTCAAGCGCAATCTCACTCTCATATGACGGAGTTTGCGTCGCAATGTAGACGAGAGGGTTCAGTGTCACACATTTTGTTAATCTTTCTTCCTTGCGCAACTCTTCCGCTTCGTCGCTAGAAACAAGAGGGATAAATCGAGCGTAAAGATCAAGCATTGCGATGCCAAGTTTTTGAATTTGGTCAGTGATATCAAAGACGTCGTCGTGCTGCCAGCGAAGTTGCTTATTGGTGGCTCCTTGCGAGAATCCAACAAGAACAGACAAGCGCGAAATATGATTTGCTAGCACGCTCCGCACTTCACGCGTAAATGCCCAACTTCCAGTCAGCGCAAAACTGGTTGCAGAACTTTGCACGGGCGTGCAGAGCATACTGAGTATGGCACAGCCGCTTTCTAACAGAGCATGGAGATAGTTTCGGTCGCTTTCGCCGATTGAGGTCACAAGCGCTTGTATTTCTTCATCCAAATTTGCAAAAAGCTCCGAAATTCTGCTCACTTCGCAGTAAAACACATCAAACGAGTTATAGCCTGCAAGACGCAGCTGCTCCTTCTGATACCCTCGTTTTTCCACAGTCTTCTCGATTGCATGAAGAAGAAATTTTCCAGTAAACCGACGCTGAATTCTCTTCACCTCAGATAGCGCTCCTTCGGTTTCTGGAGAACTCGACGACATGACTGACGCTTGAAACTTGCTTAAAGCAATTGCAGCTTGCAGCTTCTCCTCGTTTTCGATCAGATGTCGCTTCAGATCGTCCGATTTCGCTAAAAAATCCCAGACCGGCGCACAGCGGCGTTGAAGAAATTCTATAAAGGCGATGTGACGGTTGCTTTTTTCTTTCAGCTGATAACGCACCAATTTCGGTGTGACTGAAGGAGCGTCGGTCTCCTTTTGTACTGCATTGTTATGCAGCAAAGCATCGCTACTGTCTCCCATACCCCATCGCAATCCAGACGATGATTTGGCATCCAAAATCTGAAGGTCGACCGCCAGAGCAGCCTGCGCTACCGACTCCACGTCTAATGAATTCACACGCAAAGGCAATGCCAAATTGGGGTCGTCAACAAAATGCGTCATAATCAAGCGAATGTAATCGTCAACGTTCAAATTTTTGCCTAGCACATGTGACGATTGGACAGCATGAAGGTTTGCCTCTTCACGCCCTCTGCGTGTCTTATCCATCGATGCTTCGGAAAAGACTGGAGAATATTCGAGTTTCATCATATCTGATGCCGTAGCCATGCAAACTGACCCGCTAATCGGCTTGGCATCTTCGTGAATGAGCAAAAAAGAGACTGAGCCTTTCAAGGCATTGTTGTCAAACGAAGTAGGGTCCACACGAGCTTCAAACGCGAGAGCTGTTTGCCCTTGAACTCCCTCTAGCGGGAATACAGTCGAGCGTACTCTGGTTTGACCAGTCTGTGGCAGATGAATAGCCATAAGCTGGATCGGTTGCATTTGCGTCCAAGCGAAATACAGGGCATCACGCGTTATGGTGAAACTTTCCACCTCAAAATACTGGTCGGAATTTTGTTCATCATATGATGGCTCAAAATCTAATAGACATGCCCATGCAAATTTGGACGAGACGTTGGCATCCACAACATCAAGCGAGAATTGAAATAGGACATACTTGACTGTTGTGTTCGTGGAAGAACCGGGAGGTGAGCTTACAAACGCCACAAGCAGTCCAAAGCATGTCTCGAGGATGTAAGGCATCGAGATTATATGAACTTTGACCAAACAAGCATCAGAAAAATTGTTACTAAAGTAGTGAACGGCCACACGACTTGCGTTCATGTGCCATCTTGACACACTTGAACAATCCATTGCATTTTCCAAGCTGAACGCTCGTCGCTCCAGCATACCGTCCCGGAACAGCAGTAACATATCAACAGACTCTTCCCTTTCTTCTCTATCGTCGCTCATCGAAGCAGTAACTTTAATTGATGGTGGCAACACTCTCAAATACAATATAGGTTGATCCACATTTAAATCGTCTTCACCAGCTTCAGACTTTGAAGTAGTGGATGAAAAGAAGAACTGTGATACAGACTTAGTGAGACCAGAAAAGAATCCAGCACTTTGTTTTTCAAAAGCCCGGACTCGAATTCGTCGATCTTCAACTGCGATCTCCCACACATTGCCTTCATTACTCCAGCACATGAGTCTAGTTGTATCCTCATAATCCTCGCCACCTTGAATTTTCATCGTAGCTGTAGTGGGGTGTGAACTCACGTTTTCATTCGCGCCAAGGGGGATTTGCACACTTAGTGGTACGCTTTTATATGGGAGTGTAATATCTTCCCAAAAGAGCACAATGCCACTCTTGCCTACAATCATGAGGCTGAGACTTTGGCTGTAAACCGTGAAAAGAAGCGGGTAAAGCACTTCATTTGGTTTTATCTCATCTGGAAATTGTAGTGCAATGACTTTGCCGTTGTCTTGTTGCCATATAAGAACCTTAGTGCGCAATGGGAAGACATAGTAGGAGACCCATCGGTGACCACTGCGGTGACGCGCTGAAGGTATTGGAACGCGGCAGCAGCGTATCTGGTAACGCTGGTGCAATGGCAATTGTGGCCATTCGTCAAGTAATTCTTGCAGTAGTGGAGGTGGTAGACGAGCGTCCTCAATGATAGTACAACAGTGTGTGTCCATCAATAGCGATGCGCTTTCTTCCATGTCCACATTATTCCCTACTTGCGGCGTATATAGCGCATCCCATTGTTCGAGGCGCTGGCGTTTGCGAGTATCTGTTGACAGTAGCCCCGCACCCACACGCTTAGACGGCACATCAACGAACTTGCGAGAACGAAACATTTCTAAGTCTTAGATTGGAGATTTTTATAAGATTTCTACAAAATATTAAAATTCATAACTGGTAATTTTGAACTCGCCACTGCCAAAATAATTTTACAGTGCCCTGGTCGAGTTGCTAAAGTAACACATTGAAAATGAGCACTCTAGCTAAGAAATTGGTGATAAGTGTCCTTTAAAAGCCAAGCGTTGCACGCTGATTTCGGTATGCGAGTTCTGCATCGGGTGACACTGCGCTCGCTACATGGTCTTGACCACCATCGTTGGAGCCACAGACTTGCTGCATAAAGTATGTGTGGGCGAGTTGTAGCACCTTGACCCATACAAGCATTTCGTCATGACTTTTTGCAACTATACGCGTTTGGTGCGTGGGCGAGCACAACATAAACTCGTTCGATTTGCCGACTTCTTTACCATGCAAAATCTCGAGTGACTTGTGTTGTAAAGGGATTGCACCACGAGGTTCGCGATCGCCTTCTCGCTTGTAGTATCGAAGATATCCATCAGGTTCAATATTGAACCATCGTTCGCGAACACCACGAATTGACATGTTGCCAAACGCACCTTTTTCATTCGAATAAGTTGCGTGCTTTCGTAAGATACCACTCATCGTAGGTATTGAGCCATCCCGAGGTCCTTGATTTGAGTTCGAATCATAAGAATGCGTCAGTGAGGCCATTGACGCACTGCTGCCACTTCGTCGGCCAAAGTTGGGATCACACCGTTCTGAATCGCGTGCAGAGATTTCTGGAACTTTGTTAACATTTGAAACCATAGAGGCTCTTGCTCCACTGACTATACCCCGAAAATTACCGAGCGACGCTCGTGAGCCAACCGTCGATCTTCGCGGGGCTTCCTGAATCGTTGGCGCACTAGCAAAAGATGGCCTTGGGTCTGAGTCTCTACTTTTTACAGCTACATTAAGTGTTCCTTGTGTTAAAGCCTGAAACTGATCTTGGACTGCCTTCATTTCACTTTTTAGAAGCAACCGACGCTTGCTTAAGTCACTCTTACGAGCCTCGTCCTTCTCCTTTGCGAGCAAATTCACAGTATCGTGCAAGTGTACTTGAAGCTTTGCTAGCTTGCTTTGTAGCCGAGATGTTTCGGACACGCGTTCGTGTGGGGCCTCGTCAATGTCGACATCATCAACCGATATAGCTGATTGATGAATCTCAACCTGTTTTCCCTTATCTATGTCGTAGTACACGTTCATTTCGCCTTCCATACGCCGCATTTCATCAAGTGCAGTATTCAGATCGTCCTTTAAGTCTGCGCGTCGAATAAACAAATTGTCGGCTTGTTGCTGATCCCCACACTTTGCTGCTTTGGCGATCCCAGCAATTGTCTCTCGCAAATTTTTCTTGAGCATAGCAATCTTGTTTTCAAGAAAAATCATTTGAGGGGGACGCTCGCCGCTGATAAAGGCATCTTCGCGCTTTACCGCTTCTGCTGCCACACTCATTTGGTTTTGAAACAGGTTAATTTCTGATTCCACAAATTTCGCTCGCTCCTCTTCCAATTTGATTTCTTCTTCAAGATGATTACGTTGAACAACAATCTTATCAAGAAGCCGCTCTCGAGCATCTTCGGCACGTGTGTCGATCGAACCTCGATGCACCATGGAGCCTAGAAAAGCAGGCGAGAAAAATTTTACCTCGTGATTTCCGTTGAAGTCCGCATCCAGATCTCCATATGCATCCAGCTCCTGTTGTAAAGTGTCCAGTGTCTCCTCAATTTCAATTCGAGCTGTTTGCAGCGCATCATTTTCAGCAATGATTTCCGTCACTTCTTTCTCGAGCATCGCACTTCGCTGTGTGAGCTCCGCAGTCCGTAGCACCTCTGGCGAGTCAATCTTTCCTGCCAATTGCAAGTCTAGCTGTTCAATCATTTGCTTTAACGATGATGTCTCTTGTGCCAGATATTCACGCTCCGTTTCCAAAGATTCGTGATGCTGATGCTGGATTCCAAGTCGTGACTCCATCACCTCGTTTTTCCTCAGCAATTCAAGCATCGTCGAATGCATACGTCGCCTTGTCGCCGCCCATACTTGTCTGTATAGCTCATACGACACCAAGATTTGAAAGTATTCCGAGCGCAAAGAGCTTTGCTTTAATCGTGCGGCACGAGCCTCTTTTCCTTCTTCAGTCTCCTCGTCTAAAGCTTTCTCATCAACTCGACCTACAATTCCTTTTGAAACATCAGCAAACTTGATGCGAACAGGACGCACTACACGAGCGAGTAATTCAAGCACCTCTGAGTACGTATATCCAGTAAGAGAAATTCCACTCATTGCGATTACGCGCATGTTAATTGCAAGACGTTTTTCAGGCTTAACACTCCAGTTATAGATCTCTGCTGGACTTGCCATTCCGTTTGGTAGCTTGTAAATCTCCGCAATGTGAACTTGAAGATCGGTAAACTCTGTACCTGGTATACCAGCGATTTGTTTCAAATTCAGTCCTAGTCGACCTGGTCCAAACGTCACCTCTATCTCATGGACCCAGTTGTACATAACACCAGTTTTCATAGGTGGGCGCAGCCACTGTGTGTGACCATACGGTGATACGAAGTACATTTTGCCATCATTTGTTTTACTTCGGCGAGTTGTCCAACCCTTTGGCAATGCCAAAATCTCACCCGACTCCAGCACTTGAATTGACTCGCACGCAAGTTTGTTTCGTATCTTTGCAAGAACATCTTCCATGTCTTCGTCAAGAGGCGTAACTTTAACTGCTTCCTCTGCAACAGCCGTGATAGTTGCATGACCGTCTTCCTCATTATGTTGATCATCTCCTACCTCGACTGGCACGGGTCTTTTATCATACGCTTCTAATTCCATCACTTCACTACTTCTCTCACTACATGTGTCTGCACTAGCGACAAGTAACTCTGACATTGCAGCGGGTGAGGTCAAAACTGTATCAGGAGACAACTGCAAACCCAAGTCAGGCGTTTCTGATGCTTGTTGTGCAATCATGCCGTCTGCAGCCCAATCAACCGATGAGATGTCTTCGTTAACAAGCGTTACGGCCTCATATGACTCAATCTCGTTGTACGTTGAATTATCTTTATTCTCACCTCCACCGCGTGTAATCAGTTCTGGTATCACAATATTCAACGGGTCTTCTAACTTCTCAGTATCGCCACAGCTGTGCTCTGATTTTATCAAACCAGAAGTTGTGCATGATGCAGCATTGACACATTCGCCATCTATCAGCTCCGCAACAGGCGCAACCACATCATCTTCAATGTCGAGCGCCTTATTAATAGTTACCAGTGATGTGACCTGCAACTCGGCCTCAAGATCTGAATGTTCCTCCATATGTCACAAACTGTGCGTGTGCGATCGTCAAGGGCGATGTGCCGTCGTTGCTCTCGAATCCCTCGCTGCAGCTTGCTTCGGCAAGCTCCCCCTGTAAGAAAGTCAAGGTTCGAGCTAAGTACGATAATACGCTCTAAGCAATTTGCAAATGAGGAACATCAAGACGCTAAAAATGTTTTACCTTTGTTAGCTTCGTCGTAAAACGTATACGAGAAATTACTAGTTAGTTAACAAGTATTCAGTTGATGATAACAACAAAGCAATATATTTCGGATAAATCCTAAATTACTAGTAGGATGGAAAGCCACTACAACAAGTTTGGTCCTTACTTCTTATAGTGCAGGACCTCACCGATCACATTACATTCGCGGGGCATCCACCATTAAAAAGCCTTCACTACACTCACTGCTTATCGACTGCAACTCCAACATATGGTTTTTGTCGACACTCTTCTTGACTGAAACTGCGCCGACGTGACGCCTGGCGATGCGTGTCTCGCGAATAAACTCGCACAACGAACACACATTGGTCACCGGACAAAATTTTCTCGGACTCTTCAAAATCATGATTTTTGTGTTCAAGCGGCAAGTTGACTCAGCTAGACAAACCATTAAATATTAAAATGACGAATCTTTCATCAAATAACACGTTCCGAATTTACGAACTTCGTGATCGCACGCCGTAAAATTGACAGACGCTGTGAACAATCAATCGGTGAAAGGCCGAGTCCAACAAAGGGAGTATTAACCGAACGTCGTTTTCACTTGCTTGAATTAACTCAATTGGGTGCTTTAACATGCGAGTTAGTGGCGCAGCAACTTCAAGCTCTGATGGAACTTCTCGCCACTGAAGCACAAATGCACGAATAGTCACCTACTCAGCATTTATCTGACAATAAAGATATAAAATACCTGGATAAAATGCAAGACAACATATTCCACTGCTTCTATAAATGGTGCGAAAGAATTAAATGACCGCAGCATTAATGTTCGTGCACGGCGGTCAACACGGGTAAACATTTGCTCGGCATCTGCACGTGAACATGACCAAAATCAGTACTTCGTCAAAAATTACGTGTAATGCTACAACACTTGACCATTCCATTCGTCGTAACGACGATTCCATGGTGCATGAGACTGAATACTCTCGTAAGCGCCTCCCCCGTTGAGAAATTTTTTCTGCAAGCTTTCGTTCTGCGGCTCGGCTAGCTTTTTAAAGTTTGATCTGATATTCACAATTTCCTTGAGTGCCTTGGCAATATAAGATGCGTTTTCAAAACTCACTTCCATTCGACATTTATGTCCAAGTGCTCCAGTAAGTCTTCTAATCGCGTAGACGCAGCTCGGTTGCCAAAATGATGATCTGTTGCAGCAAGAATGTAAGAGGTTTGCTAACTAAATCTGATCTCTAGCCATTTCTAGTTACCGTTGAACCATCGTTGTTGCTTACGTACGCCAAGTGGTAAAATATTGGGCTTAATTAGGTAGCTAGGCGAGCAAATCGGATGAATATTAATCAAACGCTTGCTACGCTCAAGTGGCGAATTGCTGGAGCGCTTTTGAGGCGTACGTGCACGGCTAGAGCCGTTGCCATTGCTGTCGGAGCGCGCCATACCAGCGGTTAGACTCTTTTTGGTAGGACTGTCGCCAAGTGACACTTCGGTACGTAATGGCGCAATCGGTCCCTCGCCCCAGGCCATTTCTAACTCTATCTCACTGCTGCAAAGCGAGCTGACTTCCGAGTCGCTAACGTCTACGGCTTCGGATAGTTTGATCACGTGTTCCACCATGCGAATAGTAAGATTGCAGTCGTCGGAAGAATATGCGGGTGAATTGAAATTTAAGCCACTATACCAGTTTGAGTTTTTTGTGAAGTAAAACTGGCCACTTTTTTAAAACGCCACGTTTTTCTGTCAAAATAAATTGTTGCTGACAAGCTTGTGTCATTGATTGATCAATCTCAAAGGCGATGACTATGGATCTTACCGCCGAAGATGACGATCTGTTAAGCTATTTTCTTTCGGCTGATGTGGCGAGTGAGGAGATGCCGGAAGTTTTTTCAAATGCATCGCTCAATGGCGCCGCTACATCTGAGCAGTTCATATTAGGCCAGACTGTACCTTTAGCGACCGAGCGGACGTTCGGTAGCGAGCTTATGCCTCCCGCGGTACCTAACACCAGCTCTTCTTCTATATCTTCCTTTCAACAACCACCCGAAATCTTTGCAGAGAAATCCATGATGCAACCGACTGTGAACGACGATGATTCATCGTCTAATCCCGGAGTGCTGAACTCAAATGAGAAGCGTCAGCGGCGCTTGGCCAGGAATCGCGAGTCAGCACGTCAAAGTCGTCGCCGTAAGAAGCAGTACCTCGAGCTTTTAGAGGAAAAGGTGTGATTTGTTTTTTCTTGTGCCTAACTTGCATCTCAAGCGAAAAAATTGTCTTGTTGAGCTTGCAGGTATCTCAACTAACAGAAAGCATTGACACGACACGTGCAGCACATTTAGAGCATGCAGATGAGGCGCTGAACCAAGTACGCTCGAAAATTCTTCAAAGTCTTGCAGAGGACAGGAAGCAAGGCGGATCGGAAGAGGTAGAGGTAGAGTGATTTTCGGTGCCAAGTATGTGGCTGATTGTGTATGTGCGAGCAGTCGATACAAGAAAAAATTCGACAAGGAATAAAATTGATTCACGAGCGGTTTGGACCGAACAGTATGGTGCGTGGATGATTGTGCTTTGTCTTCGTACCAGGTACCTGCTTATAAACCTGTCAATAATTTTCGATAGGAACGGCTTGCGGTGAAAGACTATAATTTTCGTCAGCTTGACAACTTGTTACTGCCTCCGTACTGTCGGTTTCTATTATGGCTCAGCATTCAGGACGAGTCTTTTTTTGACGAAGCTGACGGCGTTGGATCAAAAAATGCTGGAGATGCACCAGAGAAGAAAAATATGCCAAACGTAGTGAAGAAGGACACGCTTTGGTCAACTTTGACAAATGATCTTGCCCTTACATATGAGCAAGATGAAAAATTGAAGTCTCTTTACAAGCATGTATTTTCAATATTGAAAAGTGACATTAGGTAGTTGCTGACATGTGCTCATTGCAGATTGGGTGACACTAAGAGTAGCAAGTCGGAACGTCGAAGGATAGCAATGGCAGTGGTATCTGCTGTTTAAGACTCATCTACTCATGAACCTGTTTGTCATACTGACTACTTGTTTTATATGTTGTAAAACAGACATATCTAAGCAAATTAAAGAAGAGCCTGGAGCAGCGTGCAGAGGCCGTCCAGCAACAAACGGAAAAGCTTCACTCTATACTGACCCCAGAACAATCACTAACATATATGCAGTGGGTTGACGCCAATCAAGACCGATTGCCAAACTTTGTGGAAAAGACGCTCTCGGTACCCAATACAGATGCGTCTGATGCTGTGCGCGCTATTTTGAAGAAGAATGATCGTGATCTTACTGTAGAAGACGTAACTGCACTACTCGGAGAGCTGTAAATTCAAGCTCTGGACGTTGTTTTTGGTGTGTTTATAGTATTTTGTGCGGTTTTGCCTTTTCTATATCTTCACAAAATTTTGAGAAAAACTGGATCTTACTTTCTGTATTCTATGAACGAAGATTACGCCGACCCACAATCCTTTTGCATAAAGTTAATGAAAGTAATTTACCCACAATCCGTTTACAGATATTATATATTCTTGATCAAGCGAGCAGTAATGGCGGGGAACGATCATTGCGTGGTTGGGTCAAAAGCTTTTAAACTTGTTGAATTTCTGAAAGTCTTGACGTGACATCGGTCGTCTGTCGGACGCGCTCTCGGAGGTCGTACTGTCATACGAACAGACAGCATGTACAGATAGTTTCCGATTGTTTTAACAGTATAAACTCAAGCTTTTAACATTTTTTTCGAGTTCAATGACCATAAATGCTCATTCTCGACAAATTTAATTGCACGTCCTACACTGCCGACAATGCAGCCTTACGACATGCAAAACGCTTGCGCATATTGATAGACAAGCAATGATGCACGTCAATCAAGTTTGCAAGATAGAGCTGCTGAAAATGAATTGACGAAGCGTTCGCAATCAAGCTCTTTATTAGGTGGTTGTCAAGTCATCAATGCATTGAAAAATTCTCTACATTCTGCTTGGGGAAACCGGCTTCTCTTCTCTTCTTACATTAGGCTTCACTGACCACCTCTGCTTCACACATACGTTGTAGACGTGACTTGCCAAAAAGTATCATAGCACCCGCCTCTTTCGTCAAAATCGGTCATTACCATTTTTTTCTCATGCAAAAAGCCGAAAAGGTAGGGTGTACTAGATGCCGAGACACCCATGGCCTGTCACCAAATTTACATTTAGCTTGCAAAGTTCTTTATGAATTCCCGCGGTGCTAGCATGTTGATTTTTTTAGTACATTTCGGAAACACTAATTGAAAGAATCGAGCGATGAACCTTGCCGTCGGCATCTCAGTTAAGAATAAAAATAAGCGACGTGCTTGAGCAATTTGGTCCGCTTTTTCTTGACATACAACTTTGAAATGAAAGTGTATGTGTTCAACATGAACAGAAGGCAATGTCTAACAGATTTAGGTATCCATGAATAAGTATTGCATCCGGATTACCTTACATTTTTTCTAGAGGAGAATACTGACTTCAAAAATGACGCGCAATATCCGATTAGCAGCGCGTTTTGATTTCGTCAGAAGCAGCAAGATTTTCTAATGGTTCTTACGAGGTTCCAAAGCTTTACAGTCCGTTTCAGGAACCTTGTTGATTAGAAGTGTACTAAAGTTTGATTTTTTGGCTTCATAAATCGAAATCGCTAGAAGGTTGTGTGTTTTAAGGCGCAAACGGCGTCTAATGAGATAAAACCAACGATTACAAGGTGTGTAGATAACACTTAAGTATAAATAATCGAAGAGCCTGTCCCATGCTGTCCTGCTCCCTTGGCGCATGAGACAGAATCATCAGCTTTTATCACAATCTTGCTATGGGACAAGCTAGTAATGTCGGTATTTGTGTACCTCATAATTGCACACACTGCAGGGATGGAGCAGTTAATGCTACCGTTGGGGCTTCAATCAACTCACCCTTTCTCATTGCATTGTTATTCGTTCGCCGGTTCGCACACAAGTAATAAGCATTGTCTAATGCAGTCTTAAACTTGACAAGAACAATGACAGACTCAACAGTAGAGGAGGATGCCGCCAACATTTCACAACAGCTCGCCGCAGAAATTCTAGAAGAGGACGACACGCGGGTGATCACAAAAGCTGTACGCGAGAGTCACGACTTGTGTTCAATCCCACCAACCCCGGCGTGTAGTCTGGAACCACATTCTCCTCTTCAGAATCCAGTTCACCGCCGCCCACTATTCAGCTCGATGCGTGAAGCTCTCGAGAGCTCTGGACAAGTAAAGGAAGAGCCGGGTGGATACATCATCAAGAGGCGAAATGGGCGCCAGAAAACACCATTTCGCTTTGGTGAAAGCGGAAGAAAATTAAAAAGCAGCGCAAACAGACAAAATGAACAGCAGCCGAAATGCCAAAGCAACAATGTTCCTCAAAATTCAGCAGTAGACGATGCAGACGCTGCCGGCTATACAATCATAAGGCGACGGTCGTCATGCGATGAAAATTTTTTATACAATTCAGCCAGTGCTGTGAACTTTCAATCAACCAGCAGACAAGGTATACAGGCTATAAAGTCAGCTGGCGGTAACAAAAAGCTGTCCCAGCGACCGCGACGGGGCAGCATGTCTGCACTGTCACAGAGCAGCAGCTTACTGGCCTCCATTTCACCAGCGCCTTCAACAAGCGTACCCCCTGGGTTTCAACCTCGCTCAGCTGCCTCGCAAGTAGTAATTCAACCGCCTTCTGGGTTAACTCCTGCAGCGTCTGGATGGGTCACCAAGGCTGCTGCATCTGGGGAGCCCACCAAAAAGATTCAAGAACCCCCCGTCGAGGCGCTATGGCCCGAAGTGAAGTCGACCGCTGCAGTTGACAAAACCGACACTGGCTGGGACGTCGCCAAGCCAGTAAGTGACTCGCATTTGCAGCAATGGGCAGTGAGCACAAGCACTTCATCCTCGCCATTGCAAGTTGATGTGTCGGATGATGATGACCTACTTGTGCGACTTGGAGTTACATTTTAACCTAGCCACCCCCACCCCATTTATATATACAATTTCATTAGCAGATAGCCGAGCAAACGCGAGCATTCGTACGTTACTAATGTATTATAACAACTCGGTATTTTAGCTTGCAGCAAACAATAAAATTGCTACATGTCCCATTAACACCTGTGAGGCAAATACCGGTTCAACTGCAGACGTACAGCGACAAACAGTTTGGTTTTCTGCAGCCAAGCAGCTGGATTTTAGCTGGGCTCGATTGACCCTTTTGGCCAATTTGATTTTGAAGAAGAACTCGATATGGGATGGTATGATGGCGGTGATATGTTGCTGGAAGAGGAGCATCAGGTGCGTGTTGGTGAGAATGCATTAGTTACAAGCATTGCGTTTGCACTATTCTGGGCCAATTTCGGGGTGTCGTGGTATATTTCCAATCGCCGCGTACCGGAATTCTCGGGTTTTACCACAGCACAGAAGGCTGACTGGTGTTCTAGGTATTTGTGAAGATATTGTAAATGCAACACTTGAGTGTTTCTTATGCCATCTTTGGTTTTTACTAATGTCAGAGTGAATTCAACTATCCACGCAGTCGTTATTGTGGTTGGCGTGACGTATGCCCTTGCAGACATTAGATGGTCTAGCGATTACATGCCAATGTCGTCAATTCGAGCAGCAAGCTTTGTCTTTTCAATTGGTACAATCGCGACTGGATTCTTTGTTATCGTGTTATGAGATTGCTAATGTTCTGCCTCTAGCGATAGGCTACTTTTTGTGCGACTTAATTATCATTATTGTTTGGCCGGTGCCAATGCAACTAGTCTTTATTATCCATCACACGGTCGCTGTGTACGTACTGAACACATTTGATTGAAAACGCTCTAAGCTTATTCACTATTGAACACTTTCAGAGTTCCTTACTTCATCAACAACTTTATTTCGTGCTGCGCCGCTTGTCAGTTCGGTCTTCTTGTATTCCTTCTGGTTGAATTGGCCACTCTACCACTTAACTTACGCGGTTTTTTGGACGCTCGAGATCGCCAGGAATCGAAACATTACTTGAGTTCCGTCTACACCACATATGTTATCTGGGGCATCTCGCGCACAGCGCTGCCTATCTTCTTAATGTACGTCTTCTGGGCATATGTGTACCCATCAGACCGCAACCACGACACGTGCTTTTTCCCCAGCTTTATCAGTGCGCACCTCATTGCGCTCTTTTGTATCGGCGTCTTTGTCTTCGTACATACTCCGGAGGTAATTCGGTTCATACGCGAACACCGAAAAGCGCGTGAAGCCATTGAATCGTCTGAAGAAGTGAATATGAATACGGATGATGCTGATTTGGTCGAGTCCGGGATTGACGAATTGCCTAGCACCAAGGATCATAGGCCGAGCAGTATTCGCAGCCTTACTTTGTCACTGACTAGATCGAAAGAACCTGTAACAGATGATTCGTATGACAATATTGAGCTCGGGGTCATGCCTCGTAGCGCGCGTGCTCGAGCAACAGCATAGATCAAGAGTGTTATATTAACAGTGCGATACATAAAATAACCATTTAATATTGGAGTAACAGTGCAATTGACACACCAATTAGGACGAATTAGGAATCGAACGTGATGCGGCTGACAGCGGACTTAATTCTGCACGCGCACGTGTCCATTAACCCGCTCCGTGAACGCGAGCTGAACCTTCGAGGTACTTTACATCGCGCATGATCGTTTATGTACATCGGTTACTAACGAGCTTGTAGGTTACAAGGCGCCTGCAATTGAGAATTTGGGAGTCACGCAGGATGGATTTGATTGTATCGATCTTTCCGACAATGAAATCAAAAAGCTGGAGAACTTTCCAAGATTACGTCGCTTGCGAATGCTGCTGTTACATAACAATCATGTCTCCAAGATCCAGGAAAAATTGGCGGACGCCATAACTAATCTCGAGTTCCTAATGCTCACAGGTAATCGCATCACGCAATTTTCGGAGGTGGATAACCTCACTTGCTTTTCCAAATTGGACACATTGTCGTTGAGCGGGAATCCTGTGACTAAGCGTAAATATTATCGTGAATACGTCATTTACAAGCTGCCGCAGCTACATGTCCTCGACTTCCAACGCATCCGCCCTCGAGTATGTATACCATCAAATTCTGTCGTTTTTTTGGTAGGATCCACATTCTTATGAAGCATTGCTCTTGGTTGTCAGGATCGCGAGGCTGCCAACGCTTTTTTCAACTCAATCGTTGGACAAAGGGTTATGAAAGAAGCCAATGGTGATCACATTGCCGAGTCAACACAGGCAATGAAACAGGTTTCAATCGTACAGCAAATGGAAAACTCTGCAAAAAAAGCAGTTTCGTTACCGCCGCCACCGCATCCATTGCGAACTCCTGTACCTCCGAAACAGGAGTCTCTAGTTGTTACTGATTCGCCGAACAAGGTTCCAGAGCTAGCGTCAATGAAGAGTACACCGAAACCAGTACAAGAAACTCCTTCAGCTGACGTCGAAATGAGAGATGCAAGTGAGGATGAGCCTGTAGTATCATACACACCGCCAAAACCAATTGAACAGATGACTGTGGCTATTTTGCGCGAAGAGCTGAAAAAGCTGGGATTGTCGATTAAGGGCCTGAAGGCGGAATTGGTTAAGCGTTTAAAGAAAGCTGCTGGACAAGAATGAGCAATCATTTTCGAGTACTCTGATATTCAAGTACAAGCAGGTAGGGAATAGAAAGGAACGCAAAACGATATGCAGTGCAAATAAATGACCCATCTTACAACCTGCGCACCACCATTTATAATCTTGGCTACCAAGCGTCAAGTATATGGAAAATAGCTGGTACGAACACATGCTACGACTGCAATACTTCGTAATGCACTTCATTCATTGACCCAGGAGTCGGTCGTATTATCCATTCTAAAATGCATCGTCAACGTCACTTAACTCAGACTTTTATCTATCAATCATTAATACGGTGCAATGCTACGGATTAAACTGTCCGCACGGTCACGGTGCGTTTGTGGGAGCTTTGCAAAGTTTCCCTTATCGTATCTATACATTAGCGGAACGCCTTAGAAGCCAGTGCAAATATACAAGATTAATAGTCAGATTTCACCGAATTTTCAGCAGCTCTAAGATAGCATACCCGTTGGAGCTAATAGCAAGCATTTATCGGGAGCTGTCTTTTCCAGCTTCATCTGCTCCTCGAACTCATTCGCATTCATGCCATCCAGGTACTTAATGAGCGTTCGAATGACAAAACCATGTGAGGATACTAATACGTTACGTCCCGCAGCAAGATGTGGTCGAATAAAAGAATTGAAAAACGGAATGGTCCGATTGTAAATGTCTTCGCAGCTTTCACCATTTTTACCTGGAAATCGCGTATAAAAGTCATTTCGGATCTTCTTGACATGCTCTTTGTCAAACATAACGGTGTGTTTGGTACTTGGTACACCCTACTCTCACCATAAAGCGACCATATTGATTGAGTACTCTCGAACTCACTCGAACCGAAAATTAGACAGTGCAAACCTGCAAGTCGCCAAAATTGCGCTCATTCAGCGTCGGTGTCACATATACCGGAATAATCTGTGTCACCACCGATCCCGAGTCAGTCCCTTCTGGTTTTAAATTATTGCCGTCAACTAGTGCAACTTACAAAGTCATATGGACTCTTATCATTGACCCCTTCAAAAGATGGTTTTTCCAGTGGCGAACGATGCTCTACTACGGGAGTCTTTCTACTTGAATGTACACTTAGAGCCAGTGACATCGTCGTGCGTGCACGGTCCATTTGCGAGCAGAAAACAATATCGATGGGTACATTCTCCAGTCTTTTTCCTGCCTCAAAAGCCTCCTGCATGCCGACCTCGCTGTGCCAACATATATTACAAATTAGTCTCACAAACCAAAGCAATGTAAGACGCGAAACCTCAAGGGAATATCGATGGATCCCGCATAGCGCCACAGCTCCTTTGGGTTATCGGGCTTGCGGTTCCAAACGCTTTGACCGTGGCGTAGCAAAATGAGAGTCCCAAAGCTCGTGCGTTTCTTATTATCCTGGACGCCAGTAATCCCTTCTGACGTTATCTCAGACCAACCAGGATCGCACTCACTCTGGTGAATATCCCAGTGCTCCACATGCGCATGAGGCAATTGGTAGCGTCGCTCAGAGGGGCGGACCGATTTACAGCACTCGCCGTCGCCGCAGTCGCACGTTTTGCGATCATGTAGGTACTTCTTACCGATCATGACTAGAGCTGCAGCAGCAACGACGGTCAGCACGAAAGAAGCGAGATCCACGTCAACCTTCATGCATCTATGTTGCAAATCGATCTTGTTTGCAATTATCAGCGGTTACCGATGAACCTTGCATTAAAGAAGCGATGCAAAAATGCAAAAAATGCACAGAAACCTAGAATGCCTCATGAACCCGTCAATCGTAATTTTTGCTTGAATGGCGCTTTTCTCTTTTAGAAATATCTGTAAAAAAATAGAAACGAATGATGATGGAAAATTTAGCTATCTGATAATAAAGGAGGAGCCGAGCTGGTGACTTCCACTCTGGTCCGACGAGAAGCAGATAAAAAATCAATCTATGTACTTTTTTTAACGCGGACTCTATGAGTGAAAACTTCCTTTGAGCAAAGTTCGCAGCGACCTCGCTGCACTCTAGGCCTGTCAAGCACATCATTTCCATCGCACCAAAGCTGAGACAGAATCATTTAGCTGTGATAGAATTCGAAGTGACTACTGCCCCTTCATAGATCTTGTCTTACTTCGTTTTTATGTAAAATGAGGTAGGTATCTGCTATATACATATTAGACCACATTAGATTCCGCATTTGACGCGAGAGGTGAGGCGACTGAGTCACAGTGCGTAATGACGCATCATCTGTGTAGATCACAAATGGCTTGGAGCTGAGCAGGTGGACCCTGAAATTGACAAGTGCATACTTTATCGCAAGTAACTCCTTGTCGTTGACTGGGTAGTTCCTCTCTGCGGCCTTAAGCTGGCGAAATTCGAACTCGGTCACCCGTTCTCGTCCCTCGGCGTTTTCTTGCAGTAGTGAACAGCCGATGGCAAAGCCCGAAGCGTCGTAGACGACACTAAAAGGACGATCGGGGTCTGGCAACGCCAGTATTAACGCATAAAGAAGGCTGTCCTTGACCCTGTCAAAAGCCTACAGATGCTCGGTGTCCCATCACCATTCCTTATCCTTCTTAAGAAGATTCGACAATGGCCGTGCCATTTTCGTATAATTTGCGCTATACTTGTGCAAGTAGTTGGTGAGGCCAAGCCAATTGCACAAGTCCTTTTGGTTTATTGGAACCGGCCATTCCACAAAGCCTTGACCTTAGCGGGATCCGCTCGAAGGCAACGCTTCCCAGTGAAGCACTCTAAAAAGGGGATCTCTCGGCGTCGGATGCTAATGCAGACAAGTGCCTTTGTCTGCATTAGCATACAGCTTATTTGTGCGCATGAATTCGAGCACCGCTTTTAAATGGACGATTTGATTTCCTCATCTGTCTTTCCGTGCCGCACGACTGTGGACGAAGAAGCCGTCGAAGTATGTTTGTGCAAACGCCCGATGGGGCCTAAACAATTGCGTCGCAAGACGATTTAGTGTTGCTGGGGCATTTAACGGCCCTTGGTGCATTATCAGCTAATCCCAAAGCATCCTGCTTCGAGTACTCAACGCTGTCAGTGTAATATCACGCGCTCTCATGAGCGTTAGGTAATAACTGTCCACCAAGTAGAGTGCACTGTACTTTGTATAGCCAACCATATTGTTCTAGAACACATTCTTTTCAGGATTCGGCGTCTGTGTCGGAATGGTGGCATCGTTTACCTTATTGTAAGCGTGAACGATAAGCCACTTGCCGTTCGGCATCCGGAACAAAACGTGGGTGTCGAATGGGGAGACTTGCTCTCACACGCCATTCCTGCGTCGTGCTTCGCACGGAAAGGGCGTCAATGACGTCTCACTGCTTCTTGGGCAGGGCCATTGGCGTGTTACGCAGTATTTGGTTCACGGAAGCCGGTGAATTTCATGACGCGCACCTCTGTCCGGAGATAGGACCGACGGCGGGTCTTTGGAAATGATGTCTCAAAATTTCTTTTTACCAAAGGATAATACGGATCCGAGGAATCATTCAAAACTGACAATCCATCTCCTTGCGTTCAGCACCCTCTTCGTGTCTCTAGGACAGCTTCATCCAAAAGCGACGACGAGTTAATCTCCTCGTTTGGTCTTATAATGGCCACCTCGGCTAATTTACCTGCCTTCAAGCACCGCCAAATTCTTCGTAGGGCATCTTGTGCAGCTCAAGAAGATCATCCACCGCGGGAATAACTTTGAAGGTGACGTCGCCGGATTCCACTCCTGACATACCGTTGACAAGAGTATATAGCTGTGCGCTATCGTCTACGGCAGACACACCCTGTGTCTGGGTCGACGCCCTGAGTCTTGCAGATATTATACGACTTTGCCGCCTTATCTACATAAGTTTTACGTCTCATCTAGACCAGTGGAACACGCACTGGGCGTCGTTCATTGTCCTCACTCCCTGCTCCTTCGAAGTCTTTATATTATCAACAACATCCGACGAAGAGCTGTTATCTCTACAGTCTTCGTCCAGTGGATAATGTGCCACTCCACGCGCATCACTAGGGTCTCGCTCTCGATGCCTCGGCCCTTCACCGACAATGCCACTCGTGGCATTGCTCAGTGGGTTACGTGCCACTCCACGTTCAGCCCGCGAGCCATGCTCGGGACTCTTGTCCAAAACACCTTCGGTGTTTGACAACTCGAATACTCCGATATCCAGCACAGTGGCCGTCCCGGTCCAGTACACGTGCCAATAGTGCTTCTGCTTCCTTGCAGATGTGGGTTCATGACTCACCAAAGCTGAACCAGGATCCATGCGCGTAGCACCCAAGGTATTTGACCTTGAATTAATCCATAGATCATGGTGTTCCAACCATGTCATACCAAGGAGGAGGTCATACCTTTAAATCCAAGTCTAAGACTAAGCAGCGTTCCACGCTATCAAAGTCAAGGAACTTGACACCGAGGACCACAGAGACCTCGACACAGTGACACAGTCCCCGTCGTCAAGCTAACAGTGACAGTGTCACTCAATCGCGCTTTCCGCGCCTCTGCATACCGCAAACATCCTTCAATCGTGGAACGTCGAGCATAATTGCCCGACGCCCCGTGATCGATACGAATCTTTCATGGCTTCCCAAAGCCCTTCACGGTCGCTTTTACGACCAGCAAGCCCGGCTTGAATACAAGTTCCATGTTCAAGAGCACGCGGCTCTACGGGCTGGGCCTGCTGCCCTCTGTCTCTTTAAGGCACAACAGATTTCAGTTCTTCCTCAGTAGGGCGCCCCGCACCTACTGGGTTCTCTCGATTCCCCTCGACTTATCAGACTGGTTAAATACGGTTCGTCGGGCCGACGAGCCCTTGCACGGCTTACGCAGGGGAAAGGTGACGGGTGTCTCCACAGTTCAAACACCGTCGGGTGTTTACACGCTGCCCGGCATCTTGGAGCTACCTCTCCTCTTTCTCAACATAGCTGAGATCCATTGGCTCAGGTCCACTCGACGAGCTGCTAGATTGTGCATTTCAACCAAGTCGTGCTGACTCAAAGTTGAAATTGGCGTTTAATGCCACGTTCACCGCTTCTTCAAAAGAAGACGGATGCACACACTATACTTTCATTCTAGTCACGCCAGTGCGGAGGCCCTCTATAAAGACGGTCACTGCGACTGCCTCGGGAAGAGGATCGGCTGTTATCCCGGAAATGAGAGTTCTCAACTCTTGGACAAAGTCCACCAATCCTTTTTTGCCCTGTTGGGCAGCAAGGAAACATAATCGCACGCGATATACCTGATTAGGCGGCGATAACACTCGCAAAAGCTGATGTTGATGCTGCTTCCAGAAGGGGGACGCAGCTTAGGCCGATCCGCCGCCTGTTAGTGCCCATTCTCGCGCTCGGCCTCTAGCTTGGAGATAGCTAGCGCCACGCGCAGTTGATCGTTTTGAAACATAGAAGATGCCATAGCCATATCGGCCTCTCTTATTCAGCGCAAAAAAAATTCTCCATCCTTGCCCTCGAAGGTCTTAACGCTCACCATGAGCGGCCTGGGTTCGTTAGAGTCATCCATTGTCGACGGTGGCGTCATGGACTCTGTCGACGCTGACAGCTTATGCTGTAGGTTTGCTAACAGATTATTTTTATAATCTGAAAACGCCTCTTGGCGCGCGCCTATCGCCTCGGGAACCTTGCAAAAGAAGATGTCTTCCGCCCACAGCGCCAAGCAGGGACACTAGCTTATTAAGCCCGTCCTGCATGCCCTCAGGTAAATAGGAGTATTGCTCGAGAGAGGATCAGTCTTAACGACTTTGGCGTAGATTGACTACGATTGCTACCAAGTGCAGCAGGGTTGCCGTAGTTATTTGCTTAGAGGAAGCTAAGCTAAGGTCACCGACCTTATATTCTTCACAAGAACCTGTACGAGTGCAGCGGATCGCAATCCGCTGTCATTAAGAGCACCCCAAAACCAGAGCCAAGGTAAATGTACTCTTCCGTTTAAAAGTAAAACTGTATTGAATTGTTTCAGTTGCGGTAGAGCCACCAATATCTGAAACCTGAGGTTTCCCTAATTAGTATAACGAATTTTTTTGATAAGAGTCCGGTCTTCTATTTATTAGTACCGGACTCAAGCCCAAAAAATCCGGATTTTTTCAGAAAAACAGATTATTTTAGTGACAATGTGAAAATAGCGATTTTGGTTTCGAGCGGAAGCCGCATTCCACACGAGGGTCAAGGACCGACCGTGGATGCGTGCGCATGTGAGCCGCCCTGTGGCAGCATCCAGCTGCTGCTTCTGTGTCTTGTTGAGGTGATTTGTAATGATACCACTTCCCATGGAAGATTAAGGAAAAAAACAGCGGCTGCAAGGTTCGAGCAGGGCTCACACCGTGCCGCTGGGGCGCCTCGCCTTCTTCTTCTTCCCATCCTGGGAAAGGAGTATCCGATTTGTAGTCGACTTCCTCCAATTTCTCGACGAAGTAATCCATCGCCCGTGGCGGGTGCGCGGTCGGGAGTAGACATCGTATATGTATCCTTGGTCGTGCGGCCCTGTCGCTGACAATGCGCTGCGCGGTACTCGGTTATCGAGAGCTTGGGCTGCGCTTCCCTTAAAGCCTCGGACGTACCGTCCAGAATTGCACCGCTTGCAGGAGACTAGGAAGGGCTCTGCCCGCGGGCGTTCTCGGAACCAGCAAGGCTGGGTGTCTTC